TTTTTGCATACTAGATCCTGGGAACAAGCCTCGTGGTTGTTAGGAAAAGCCTTGCTGCTTCCACTTCTGCAGCAGCTTTGTGGAAAGAAACAGAGGTCTGGTCACCAAGAGCAGAAAGTTGGGGTCTTCCTCCCCAGGATCACAGTGGGATTTAGGTCTTAAGTGAGGACATTGGTGACTCTAAGGATGATCCTTATCTGCTGATCTGCAAACCCTGTGTTCAGTGAGGTTGTGTCAGCTTTGTTCCCATTCCTGTGCAGCCAGAGCAGGATCCCTGTGCTGCCTGCCTGGAGGCATGGGGCAGCAATGGCACCTTGTGTTTCACACCCTTCCCCTCTCACTTCCCTTCTCTCCTCACCTGTTTTGCTCATTATTTCAGAAAATGTCAGGGTTTGGTTTTTTCCCTAGAAAAATGCAAGTTCCTGGTTTAAAGAAAGAGGGGGAAAAACCCATCCAACCAACAACACCCTCCCTACACTCACCAAAATAAAAAAGCCTACAAAAAATAAAAGTATTTTAACCTGTGGTCTTGCAGTTTGACATTCCTCCATCCAGTCATCTAGAGGCTTTTGTTCCTCTTGAATTTTTCTTAGTAGTCGTAATCCTTCCAAACTGGTTGATGCAGAGCTCTGAGCTGTCAAGCAGAGCCCTGCCAGTGTTCTGCCATTCAGCTGCCCAGGTTTTGTTTTGCTGTGTTTGCTGTCTGTGTCCTGCAGCTCTTAGTGTGTTACAGAGCTTCCTGCAATATTGAAAAGCTTTATTTTGGTAGACATTTCTGCTCTCGAGGCAAATCTGTTTCTCTGCTACCAGCTGAGATTAATTTTTTTCTCCCTTACTTGCTTCACTCTTTTTCTTCAAGCTCAGTGATATTACCTCCTCAGTCTTTCTGATTTTTCTGACTCAGGGGAGGTAATACAGAGCCATAACTCAAGTGTTTCACCAATTTGTTTTCTGCTTGTAGGACTTGACAGGCTGATCTCTCTCATTGTTGACGCTCCAAGTATCCGGGACGTCATTGCCTTTCCAAAATCCTTCAGGGGACGAGACCTGATGGGCAATGCTCCAGACTATGTCACTCCAGAAGAACTAGAGCCATATCACATTCAGGTTTCCTGGCCTCTTGAAGAAAAAGAGGCAAAGAAAAACTGACTTCACGCCAGTGGTGTAAGCTGATCTGATCAACCAGAGGTGGTTACAGCTTCTAAAGGCCGGGATTCAGTTCAGAAAACATCAGCTGCTGTGGCAGGATGGGGGATAGTCCAACTCCACTGTACTATGGCAGTTTGAGGATGGAGTGGGAAGCAGATAAGGGATATTCTTTATAGGAATTCATCTTTGGGAGGTAATGGGAAGGACATGCAAAAAAACAATAGCAAAGAGCATAATTTTAGCATAGGATATTGAGACTGTTTCCTTTAGGGTGTCATATTGGAGGGAAGATGGGTTCTGGTTTTTCCCAATTTTTATATGTCCCTTGTAAAGTATTCCTCCTCCCATCTGGAGGAGATAGTCAACTACCCTGGCAGGAATTAAATCATGATCCTCATTAAATCACATCAGCTGAGCGCTGTGACAATAAAACTGTGCTGGACCAGGAGCTCTGAACACTGCACAGCCAAACTTCAGTGCAGCCAACAACTTGTTTCCTGTTGGAGGATACCACATCATGCAGGACTTTGCATGGGGAATTCACACTCAGCTGTGTTTTCACTTTGAAGGGGAGGAAGAGAAACATTTATGATGTTTGCAACAGTTGTCCTTGTAATACTGGTCAAAGAGGTGTTGATCTGTCTTTGGGGCCTGTGGTCCTGGTGCACTCAGCACAGCCATTCAGGAGCTTGTATGTTTATAAATAAAGTTTACTGGCAGTGTGGTTTGCCTGAGTGTAGCTTTGGGCTTCCTTTACAACAGCAAGCTGTCAGTTTGGCTTTGTGACCCCTGGCCCCTCCAGGAGATGACAGGAAATCTGTGGGAGCACAGCATGAACTTCTGTGAGCTCTGTCTGTTACTGCAAACCTGCTGCTGCAGTGGTGAGTGAGGCAGCAGCAGGTTCCTCCCAGGGAACTGTTCATCCTGTCCCACACCAGAACATCCACAGTGCAGGGGTGACTGTTCTGAGGAGAGGTGGAGGTGAAGAAACTGAGGAAAACTGAGGAAAGGAGTTTCCTAGATGAAGATGGTACAAAGGAAGAAAAGGGAGAGCTGGTGGGATTCTCAGCAGCCAAAGTGCGAGTTGTTATTTTAGTTTAATTTTTTTTTGTTTCTTAGAAGTTTCCAAGCCTATCCAGAATATTTCAGGTTGAGCCATGCTGAGGAGAAATTGCAGCCTTTGATTTCAGCTGGGAAGGATAGCAGGAGGCACATGCCAGAGGAAGTGCTGGAGGACAGAAGGAAGACTGAGCTGATACTGAGCTCCAGCCTGTCCTGCAGGTTGTCAGATCCTGGTCTGCTCCAAGGGATGGCCACTCTTTCCACATCATGAGATAACACTGCATGGTGGTGTTCACAGTTATTATTTAAATACTGAACTGTCCTGCTGATAAGAATCAGTATTGCAGTTCTTCTCCTTAAGGGTGGATTTTTGGATTTTTTTTGACTACCATCCATAGAAAGTGACACTAGAACTGACTTGCTGCTGTTTTGCAGATCATAAAATGGTGGAGTTACACGTGTAAAAGAAAAATACTTTCTTTGCTTCTGGCATGATTGTTACTTTAAGTCTCAGAGCTCGTTCAATATTATTGAAGGCAAAACAGAACAATCCTGGATTTGTATTCACATTCATTTAAGCCAAACACTGAATTCCTTCATTTTTTTTCCTTACATGAGCTATTAATTTCTACTTGAAATCAATTTATCTGCAGTTAATCAGTTTTGTTCCTCTCTCTGAGTAGAAGCTATCAGTAATGGAGTGAGGATCAGTTTTGTTTTCAGAGAGAAGCTAACTTGAAAAATGGATCCCTAAGCAGATCCATGATAAACTTTATGATCTTCATGGGTCCCATCCAACTGAGGACATTCTGTGACTTTAAAAGCAGTTATTTAATTTTTTTTGGTTGTTTTTGCAGGGAGGCGAGTCACCCTGGGGCAGTTATACCAGATATTTTTATTCTCCTGACTTGTCAGTGGTGATACAAAATAGAGTCACTTCAGGCTATGTGTTGTAGTCAGACTGCTGGTTTAGAGGATGCTGGATTTCCTGATTTTGTTTCTTCACTGGTAGCGTGATTAAGATTTGCATGGAATTTGCTTGAGGATCATCTGTGTTCCCAAAGCAGGGATGTCATAGGCTTGTTTGAGGTCATGGAACATAGGAAATAAGTTACTCTCAAAAGTTCTTCACTCCCCCCAAGCTATTATTTATAGTAACTGTAAACAAAATGTGCTGAACTTTGCTTTTTAATTGTGAAATCAGGAGTAGCATATCACTTGCTTAGCACCTGCTTGCAAAGGCAAGTGCTGTTTACCTCTGCTGAGTCCCAAATTAGGATTATCAAGTGTTCAAGGGGAAGCTGATGCTCTGGGAGGCTCAGACAGAAATGTAACCCTGCCTGGAACATTCTTTTTGAGAGCACTTGTTAAAACATGTGAGCGAGCCGTGCACATCCCTCTTGTGCAAGCAGCTTTGGCTGCTGGTTGTTTATCCTCTGCTAGATGAGGGACTCACTGCACTCAGAAATAAAAAGTGCTACCAAACACCTTGTCTGAGCTGCTGCTGTCCTGCCACAATTAGGTTAAATATGGAAAGGTGTGTCCCAAATCCAGGCAAGCCATTTGTGATTGGATTGGTGTGGCAAGTGTGAGTTTGCCAGGGTTGTGTGAACGTTGCCACAGAGAAGATACTAAGGGGTTTTTTTTTTGTTTTGTTTTCTTTTATAGAGCATTGTGTAAGATTGTGCTTGGGCCTGTGGAAGCCAAATCTACAGAAAATCCCTGAAACCACAATCTGCTTGGCACACTTACCTGTATATTTTGGTAGGAGCAAGAGTAGACAGGCAGTACAAAGAAATCCATGGAAATCAGGGCTGGTAATATTGCAGAACAGAATCTCCTGCTTGCTGGAGGGAAGATGCCAACCTGTGATCCTGAAAAGAGATGTTGAAACCATCACAGACCCCTTATTGCCTCTGCTCTTTGTTATTTCCCCTGTATCAGACAAACCTATGGAGAGCACTGCTCTGTCAGCTGTGCTAGAAGATGCCAAATCCTGTGCTCCTCTGTTAAGAATTATTCTTTAGAGGTAAGAATGTGAGGTTGAATGTTCCCTGACATGATCCTCTCCACTCCAGGGAACTTCATGACTGGCACAGATGGGATGTGAAGATCAAGGTGGGCACTGGGATTGTACAAGGAGTGCTCTAGCAGGAGCCAGGGTTGGATGTGAAGCCTCTGCAGTCTTTGACTCCACCTCTTACTGATTTTCTTCTGTTAGATCTCAACAAAACACTGGTAAAATGAGGGACTGTTTATTCCCCACCTCTGGGAGAACCTACTCCGTGTATGTTTCAATAGATTTGACCAGAACAACCCTCTAATAAATTTATACTACTTGTTTGTGGAAGCAGAGATCAATTTCTGATGTGTTTCAGTATGTTTTCCCCCTCCTCCTGGACAGGAATGTAACATGCTGGTGGTATTCTCAGCAGCCAAAGTATGAGTTGTTGTTATTTTAGTTTAATTTTTTTTTTTTTTGTTTCTTAAAATTTTACAAGCCTATCCAGAATATTTCAGGTTGGGCCAAGCTGAGGAGAAATTGCAATCTGATTTCAGCCATCCCAGGTGGGTTGGGTAAATTTAGCTGGAAGAGTTTTGTATAAAGTGCCACAAAGACAGAAAGTGTTCCCAGAATTTAATATGGAGTTTAATCCTGTATTGTGCTGGTATCTCTCTCAAGATTAGCTAGATTACAATATAATTTATTAAATTGCAGTGTATCACAGCAGCTTTGTGTAATCCCGTGCTGCAGATACTCAGAGGTTCAGAGTGCTGCTGAATTCCCAATTCTGCTGAAAACAGAAAATACTAGCATTTGTAACATGTCAGCTGAAATATTCAAAAAATGGTTTCAGCTGTTTGCAGCTGGATTTGTACCCACTATTTTATCCTGAGTGTGGGCAGGAAGTGGGGCTTTGTACACTCCCAATCCCAGAAATGTCTGTGCTGCTCTGGATACCACCAGCACCTCTCCCACTGTGAGGAAAGGACTAGTGATGCTGCAGTGAATGCAGGCAGCCCCAAAAATGAGTCTGTATTGCTAAAAGCAGAAGGATAAAGAGAATTTATGCTCTCACATGTATGGATTTCTATTTTCCCCCCAGTTATTTCTTACCTTTGCTTGCACTGGGGTGTGTTTGGAGCACTCTTGGTGCATTCTTGAGTCCTTGTGCTCACAGCAGCAGAACAGGCAGAGACAACCACAGCCACCTAAACAGTGCCAGATGGAAATCCCCCGTGTCAGCTTCACATGGCTTCACCTCTAAATGTTTGGGCTCTGATTCCAGGCTTGTGCCCTAGTTTGTTGTGTTCCTTTGGAAGCTTTGTTTTCTGTAATTAAAAAATGATGATTACATGCAGTCACCAGCTGTGCCAGGCACAGTTCTGCAGCGAGCAGAGCTCTGTGACAGATATGTTCAGATGGATTGGTCACATTTTTCTCTAATAACCCATCAGGAGCCAGCTTGCTTGTTATGTTTTGATAGTCTTGGTGTTCACTGCAGAGCTGAAGAAAAGCACTGTGGATGGTTTCCCCATTAATTTAGTTATATTTTAACCATATTTGTATTTCATAGAACCATAGAATCCAATAATTTATTTGGGTTGGGAGGGGTCTTAAAGACCCTTTAGTTCCACCCTGGGACATCTCCCACTGTCCCAGGTTGCTCCAAGCCCCATCCAACCTGGCCTGGGACACTTCCAGGGATTAGGGGCAGCCACAGCTTCTCTGGGCAACCTGTGCCAGGGCCTGCCCAACCTCACAGGGAAGAATTTCTTCCCAATATCCCATCTAAACCTGCTCTCTGTCACTTTAAATTTCTATCCCCTTGTCCTGTCACTACATGCCCTTGCAAAAAAATACCTCCCCCTCTTTCTTGTATACTCCCTTTATAGCCTTGAGTTGTGTTAAATTATGTGTTATTCTAAAATCTACTTCCTCATGCTTAATTTAAACCTCTCACCTGATCATTGCACAAGGCACTTTCCCATGTAGCTTATAGAAGTAATGATATTCAAATTTCTTACGTGTTTTCTGTTCTGCTTATAACTTAATGAATTAATATCCTCTCTTTTTTTTTTTTTTTAATCCACATTTATTTTAAGCTGTACAATTTTAGGCAATTTCACCTACTTTAGTGGGGAAATCCCTGTGTGCCTTCTGTGCAGTGACTTTCCATACACCCATGGACAGCTGGATGGCCAAACCTGAATGCTCTTGTTGGTTGTTTTTGTGGATTTTTTCCCCCCACATCTTGCTGTTAGTATTTACCAACCTTCAGTTCCAGTGACTAAGTATTTTTTGGTGCAAAAAACTAGAATTAAATAGTATATATATATATATATATATATATATATATATATATATATATATATATATATATATTTAAATATTAACTTCTCAAAAAGATCCCAAAGTATCTGAAAAAGCAAGAATCAAATTTGAACAACACTTTCTACTTGCCCAAGTGGCAAAGTGAACAGTATAAAAACATTTCTGAGAACATTTGGTACAAGGGGCCCGTTTGGAGCCAATTTTCTCTGGAACAGCAATCACAGTGAACTCTTGGATTTTTTAATATTACTGTCTACTTGGAGAGTGATAGATTTAAAACACTCTCAGTCCTGAGAATTTTACTTGTTTACTTGAGCAATTTGAAGGGAATTGGAGATGAAGTCCTCAGCTCCTTGATGCTATCCCTTGAAATGCAGGCTCCTTGTTTGTCATCTATTCAATTTTCCTTGCCATTATTTTTACTTGTATGTAAAGAGAAAAGACATCCAGGGTAGTTCTGGGAAAGAAAAGCCTTCAATAGATTTTTTCCTGCAGCATGAACAGAAGTAATTTGACAGCAATTACAGCACCAGGGCTCTGAGGAGAAGGACTGAGTGACTCCCATCCTTTCACACAGCATCACTTCACTCCCAGTGGCAAAACAACAATGGCCATGATGCCTTGTGAAGGCTGACCTAGAGCAGAGGCTGGGCAGAGCTAAAGAATAAAGCAGGGATTTATTAAATGGCCTCAATGGATCCACCTCGGGCAGCACAAGAGCCCAGCCAGGGCTGCACCCAAGATTAACCCAAAATGGTCACAAAATGCACGACCACTCACGGGGGCTCTCACTTTTGTAAATTCTGCTCCATTTGCATATTGGAGTTCATTGTCCAATTCCAGCTTTAGCCCATGCAGTCCCATCCTGCTTGTTTTTCTCTCTCCAGCCCACGTTGTTTGTGCTCTTGGGCTGAGATTTGGATCATTTGTCCTTGGTCCCAGCTAGAGCAGGAATTGTTTTGCCTCCCTGCTCTGTGCAGAGAGCCACCATCCCCTAAAATGAAGCCCAGACCCACACACTAAAGCAGCCCAGAATCTGAAAAATAGAAAAGCCAAAACCTGAGGCATCGGCCAGAGCCAAACACTGCCCAGAGCCAGGAGTTCTCCTGAGGATGACACACCCCTGGTGAGTGTGGAATTGCCCTTTTTTTGCAGCTTTGTACAAACCTGCCTGAGAACCATGAGGAGATGTGGGTGGATGACGGGCTGAGCAGCTCAAGGTGCCACAGGGTCTTGTCCCAGAGGGAGCATCCCAGAAATAGTCTGGGGAAGAGACCTCATTGTGACCTTCCAGAACTTTCTTCCCTGTGAGGAGGCCCCGGCACAGAGAAGCTGTGGCTGCCCTGGATCCCTGGAAATGTCCAAGGCCAGGCTGGATGGGGCCTGGAGCAGCCTGGGACAGTGGAAAGTGTCCTGCCCACAGCGGGGGGGTGGAATGAGATGTTGTTTAAATCCCACCCTAACCATTCCATCCTTCTCTCAGCACTTTAAAGCTCACTCATCTCTAACCTCCCATGCTTCTTTTCAAGGAGTTTAAATAAAAGGTACCCTGTCATATTCAAAGTAAAGGATTAAAAAAGCAATTATGGAAGGCAAGAGCTTGATTTGGATGCTTAAGATGTCTTGTAAAAATCCCGAGACTTCTCTAAATAGAATTTAAACTGAAAGCATATGAAGCCATGAATTCTCAGCTCTATTTTCACTGTTAATATTGTATAACTAAAGCCAGATCCAGAAAAAAAAGGATTCTTTTAATGGGAGGAGCATAATTTTAGCACAGCTGCCACAGAAACACACAGGGCCAAGCTCTGCCCACAGTTGCCTCTGGAGATAGCTGAGTTTAATGCATTTGCAGGAGCCATGTGGAGAAAATCTCTGGCTTGCTGTTACTAATTTCATTTGTGGAAGATGAGATAAATATTAATGAATATAAACACATATTAAATGTAGACTCACCAGTTAAATAACTGTGCTGGCTGAATTAATGTGCTTTGTAGTCAGGAACATTCAGCTGGAATGATGCTTTCTGAAAGGCAATTTCTGCAAGTTTATAATTTTGTAAATGCTACCTGAAAAACCTCCTGTTGAAGTTGGGAGCCTGCAGACATTTTTTTCCTTCACATCAAGGTAATTTCCATCCCTTTTTTCTGCTCCTCACTACTTCCTTGGCAGCACTGATCAAAGCATCTGAGGGGTGCCTGATGAGCAGCCCTTCATTATTTCAACCAGGACCAGATTTAGGACCCAGAACACTACATGGCCTCCTAAAACAGCTGCTGCAGTTCTGGTGAGGAACAGGACTAAATAACTGAGCATTGGAGGATATAGAAATTAGCTGACAGAAATAAAATAAGGTGCAGCTAATTCGTGCTGCCTCCCCATGGCTCCAGCTTAAAAAGATTTAAAGATACTGAAAAGTGTCAAAATAATCAAAATCTATTATGCAACAGTAGGAAATACTGAAGCTGTTCTTTAAATAGCCAGTGACACAGAAGATTTTTGTGTGCTTTCCTGGGGGTTACTGTTCCTTTTGAAATCCTAAAAGAGGTTGCTGCTATTTTCTTTAGTCTTTTACAGTAGTGGGAACTAAAAGCTAGAGGTACAAATTGTGTGTAGATATATAAATTTGGTGATACTATGCATCCTATAGTGAAGAATATGCATCATATAAAGTGCAGTTATAGAAAACGGTAGTAATTTTAACAAATTCATAACAGGAAATGCCATTTAACATAGAAGTCGATGTATGGTGCTTATTTATTTATTAAGTATGCCAGGAGGATAGGGAAAACTGAGGATGAGAATTCTGCTGGAAGCTGTGTCCATCATAAAAGAGGATTAAGGTGCTCAGGAGGGTGAGTTGCTTCACTCACCTGGCTCTCCACAGCCAGAATTTGAACCTAACACTGTGAAAACACTGAGATGTTTCTAATAGAGCTGAATTTGAATTATGACCTCTTTGGCAACTCTTGCATTTCACTTGGCTTTGCTTTTGAACTGCTGCAGGTTTTGTTTGGGG